ATAGGCTCCAGTAGATAACTTCACTATTAGTTCTATGCGCCTGAGGCGGATTGTGCACCGCAATTACTCGCATAAACTATCCCCGCTCCGATAGGTGCTGGTAAGTTTGCCGGATATTGACGATTTTATGTACAACAGATCACCAACGTGAGTCTTTGATTTTCGGTCGCATCGGAAACAAGAGTATCCTGACAACACGACTTTTTGGGGTATGACGTCGTAGTTCAGCCAAGTCTCTGCAAGTCCTTAAACCTCCGGTCGCTCCGAGACAGAAAGCGGCACAGTTCGTCACGTTTGTTCATTAGGCTACACACGTTAGCGAATGCCACACGGAGGTTCTGGGAGGTACTGCGGGACGTGCCTGGAGTTTGAGCAACCGGATGATACGGGTTCGTACACCCTTCTATAGTCAGCGTAGTCAGCGGTCGTTAAGATGCGTGTGACATCTCCCACCGTTGGGGTTAATTTCACACTCCAGCTTGCGAACGATCCATAGGTTTGCGCGCACGACTCGACCGCCGACGTGGGGTTTCACTTGCAGGTGTACATTCGTCCTCCACCGCCACTGGTTCTATAGCAGAATCCGAGTCAGCCTGCGCTTTGGCTGGCGAGTCAATGTCTCCTGTGCGTATGTGATCCGTGGGTCGGCGCACGACTCGCTCGTCCGGAAGCTGCACGTCATATTGGGTCCCTACCGCACCGATTACAGCTGCAGGTTGCCAAGATTTTTCATGCGGTAACCGGGTGTAAATTGGTTGATGTTTCTCCAATGCGACTTCCGTCTTTGATTCGTTTGGGACACAGCTTTCTTCTGTCGCTCCTCTACTCCTGCGCGCGGGTTGATGAACAACAAGTGTAGGCTCGTCCCAAAAATTTCTGCCTCACATCAATTCCACCGGGGATTTAACAATAGTCTCAGTGGGCGTCGAACGGTAAGCGAATAGAAGGCGATCCAGTTTTTTGTAACGTTCTCGTTCGCTGCTTTTGTAAGCCTTGTTTTACCGTTTGTACCGCACGTTCTGCTAGCCCCTTTGATACTGGGTGATACGGGGTCGATTTAATATGCTGGTTTCCATTATTGGTGTCGAATTTATTGCATTCAGCGCTAATGAAAGATGAACCGTGGTCTGTGCATAACGTTTCTGGAATGCCAAACGTTGCAAGTGAAAAGCACATTTTCTTATTGGTATCTTCCGATGTCGTTTGAGCAACGGGGTTTCATCGATCCACTTAGAATGAGCATCCATAAGTAAAAGTAACATTGTCCTCTTGATCAGTCCGAAATAGTCAGCGTGAATCCGCTCTCACGACTTGTCGGGCTTACACCAAGGGTGCACTGGACCGGGTGGTTTGTTCCGTTGATGAGCCTGACAATCGTCGCAATTCCCCAATAAGTTTTCTATGTCTGAGTCGATCTTGGCCCACCAACAGTACCCTCTTGCTAAGGCTTTCATTCTTGCCACACCGGGATGACCATCATGTAGTTTCTTGAGAATCTATGAATGCGCCTTAGCAGCCGACAGCCCAAAAACACAGCTATCGAATAAGCTCAGTTCATTCCTGCGCATCATAAACGGGTGTAAATCAGCAGTTCTTTCAAAACGCCAACCCGCCCTAAAAAATCGTTTCACCGTTGACAGTATTGGGTCTCTGTCTGTCTACTGACGGATTGTTGCACTTCGTGTCGGCGTTTTGTCTAGATGCATTAAATTAACCTGCTCAAACGGAATGTCGTGTTCTTGTGTAATTTCGGTTATTGGCAGGCGGCTCAGCGCATCGGCTGTGTGGTTGTTGACACCCGTAAGGTAAACAATCTTGGAACCGTAAGTACTCAAAGTTACTGCCCACCTCTGCATTCTGGAGGATGCCATATGCTGATTGCCCTTGGTTTCTCCTAGTTACGTTAGTAAGGGTTTGATCCGTGTGCAGCTCGAAGAAATTCCCCCACAAGTACTGGACTACTAATCCATTGGGGTTTTCCAGCGTGGGTTCGCATCTCCTCTCTATCGCCAAATGTAGTGTCTCGCTCCTGGTACTACCTATCGGCTCTTAACCAGAAAGAAGACAGCGCACTGACATAAACAGTTAATTCAAAAAGTGACCAGGTACATGTTACAAGAACAAGATAAGTGTTGGTGTGTACGTTTGTGCGTGCATGTGTGTAAAGGACCAATCATTGTGAGCGCGTAGTCAGTGATCGATAAGATGCATGTGACATCAACGTAGCCCGCTTGTCTTCAGCGTAGTGGTTATTCCCTCTCTACCTAATACTGCACTGGTTAATCGATATAGCTTGTTTCAATGCAGTACTGGCGGTCGCTTTATTTGGATGATGTGTCCATTTCTAAATTGTGCACTTCATCACAAGGCGCTCTACTCACAATTCCCCATCGTTGCCGTCGATTGTTGGCCGAACCCTCCTTTGTCAATTAATCATGTTTTCTAATTGATACCCCATTCTGTTAACTTCAGAATGTATCCAATGCCGTCCGCCCTCAAGAACTGAGCTGCCTGGTGGCTAGACTGACGGAATATGCTGTTCGGACCGATGTAAGACGGAATATCCTATCTTCGAACGGTCAAAAGAAATCGGTCCTTCTGTGACAACCGGTTTTTCAGCCATTACAAATAAAAAACACATTGGCCAGCAAAATACCTCACTATTTGCCAGATTTTGGAGCACTGGTTTAGTGGTCGAACTACGACACGCGATTTCAGTTAGGCCACGATTTTCTTTGAAATTATCCTTGGTCATTCCAATCATTGGGGCCGTGTGCGATGTGGGGTATTGGAGTTGCTCGCTACCCACACTGCCAACTCCGGCTATGTACCTGAAAAGTCAAACAAGGATGAAATCGATCGTAGAGCACAGTGTTGAAGAGCAGTAACCCTGAAACGCTGCGCATTATTGTTCATCAACCCGTGACATTTCTGGGGCCAATCGGTTCCACTTTGATTCACTTAAACAAACATTGGGGCACTCACGTTGGCACACCCGAACGTCAACCAAACAGCATAGACGTGTATACGGACGCCCATACCTTATACATCCGCTAACCGAATCCTCCACGTTCACCTCCAGTCGGATGTCTCCCAAGTTCATTTGGTTCGCTTCACTCAAATTGGAGCTTCCTATCACACAAATTGTCTGTGAGGGGCTTGGTTTGCACTTCCAATCCCTTCGACTTCCACGTTTCGATTCCGACCTACTTATGTGTCTTGCTCTAGATTGGCTGGGTTTGAGCTGCAAATCTTGCGCTGCATCTCGGTTGGGAACATGGTGTTTGCTTCCGTAATCATTACGGTAAGCGATTGTGTTGCACCTGTATGAAGATGCTCATCTATTCTTCGCGATCACTTATTTCCGACACAGCACCCACCGTAGGCTGACATGGCGCCCACACTAGCCATTGAACAAAATCGATCACCTATCGATTAGTTACCGCCGGAGAAGCTGTGTCCAAAACTGTCGCTGGATTTGGAGCATAAGCGTGGATTCCGATCCCGTTCTTGTGTGTGCTGATATGCGCGTGCGTTTCGGCGTCCGACTGCCAACTGGCTAATCCAGCTGTTCGGAATGCGTATGGAAGTGTGCTGGCATCCGGGCTGAGTAAAGCGCTCACTGAACACTGTTGACAATCACTGTTCGCATATCCGCCAGATGTCACTATCAGCAGGCATGTCTCCACGTGGCATGCAAATTGCCAACCTGGACATTGGGTCTCCACACATTCTTTGGAACTTATGGATGCTCTCCTTCATGTTCCGACTGGAAGCGAACACATTGGGACTCGCAAAGATCTCAAGAAAAACCTGCGTACCAGCCTGAATAGCGCGCGTATCCTGGTAGTGTCATCGTGCATCTGAGATGGAAATAGCCACTACCCTTGATAACCATCGGAAGTTATTCTGTATTATACGGAAACGGGTGGCAGTGGACCTGGTGTTAGCGAGACCATTCGTGACTAGAGGGGACAGCCGATTCACAGCTTGTCGAAACGCTTGGAGCTTTTGGCCGAACGCTTTGCAAGGCAGTTTAACCATTCTGAGTTATCCTCTTTCTTTTCGCGCATCGATCAGTCTACTCCTTGGGCTGTCCCCTTGGATTCGCCTTCACGCATAGAAGTCGAAAGTCTGATCACAGTTTTGGAATCCGACAAGGCCGCCGGAGCGTATAGACTTCCTCCAGCCCTTTTCAAATTCAGAGGACCTGCTTTCATGGATGACTTGCAGAAATTACTAGTGACGCTGTGTTAGCAGGTATCTGTCCCAGCGGACTGGAGTCGCTCTTTTATACCCCTAATTTTCCAGGGAGACTCAAGTTTCGAATCGACAATTATAAAGGAACCAGTCTGATCCCACTTGCTTCTATATTGCTTGGCAAAGAGCCACTTAAAATGGCGCTTGTGTTGTGGGTTTTTTGTCACTCTCCATCTCACATATCTTCCCCCTCCATTCCCGATCTGATACCCGATGCATAGTAGGATATTTTGCGTTATATTGTATTTTAGTATTTGTAGCTTGTAATGTTTAGTATCTTTTCTTTTTGTATCGTGGCACATTAACTGATGTGTGTTTCTTGCCCTCAGCTAAAGTGTAATGATGGTCTGCAAATGTCCGCATAGACTTTTTTCTACATTGCACACGTTCCAAGATGCGTCCAGTTTTGCGAACTTTTCTCTGGATCATTCCTGTTCGATCGACCTGAGACAAAACGCCGAACTTGAATTGTTACTATTCTATCACCTTTTCGGACACTGTTTTGCTCGATTTTCACTTTGCTACACGTATAGCTTGTCGTTCCCATTTGAGAGTAGATGCGTGCTTTCTTTTACTTTAGTGCGCATAGCTTGTAACATTGGACTCAATACTATCTGTTGAAGCCTTGTTATTTTCTCACTCCTATGGCCTCCCGAGTTTCGTTATCACCTTTATCTGTCCACTCTATTACATCACTTGTCTGTTATCAGCACTGTATTGTTCCTTTTCCCTTCATTCAGCTCTGGTGACCACGGCTGGACCCGCGTTCGCTATCTATTTGGACGCCGACTCGCGCTGTTCAACTTACTGATGGGTCGAACCGGAGCGACTGCGCAAGGGAGCTTGTTGCTGCCTTCATTCAGTCATAGCAGTCAATCTCGTGTCGGTCTTTGGATTGTTGGTTTGATCTCTGCCACTCAATCGGAACTGGATCGCGTCTTCCATGCAGTTCGTGCCTCAGATACAGCAAAATCTCTAGCGTTGCATCTATTGCAAACTATAACTTGCCGTTTGAAACAGTTTATGCGATGTCCTGGTGGGTCCGTCCCTTGTGCATACAGGGACGTTCTGATCCAGACGATTACACCGATTCTGAAGTGAGTTTATTTTTTTAGCCGATTCACACTTACCTAAGGAAGAAAAATGGCCTCAGCAGTACGCCGATACGCTGTACCGGCATTTCGCTGTCGCGCAACCACCACCAGTAGTATCACATGGGCTAAGAACACTGCGAGGATCGTCCGGTTCGTACGTAGGCTCAAACTCGCGCCTTCAGATTACAAGGCAGACATGTAATCCTTAAGGCTAGGGGCTGGCAAATCGTCACCCAAAAATACATCAATCTGTTGTTCACAAAGCCTTCTAAAGCGATAATTTCCCGATCAGTTCCAAACGCATTCCAGAATTTCTCACCCTTGTTGTTTCGAAGTTGTGGATTTGTGGAAACAAGAGACTTCCCATCGGATATCACTTTGACCCATGAATTATCAGGCATAGTTGGGACGCAGCCATTGACTCGACCTCTGTATGGCCTCGGCCACTGACTTTTTTCACACAGAAATTGCCGGTCACTAAGTTGCTCCTGACATCTCTTAGTGGTTCACAATTTTCTCTTTTATGTATCGCAAATACACATTTCCATCTCTTCACACGATCTGTCCTAACCATGTAGACATGTGATCTGCTTACCCATATCTTTTACGAGTTACACATGGCTTAAATCTCTGGACTAGCGTCGAAAGACTTGCATGATAACTTAAGTAGCATTTTCCGTTGGAAATTTGCCCATTCATGTCTTCCTGTTTCAGACATGTGCTTCGATTTTATCACCACCTAATTCATTCTGAACCCGATTCTCTCGGTCCTGTGAACGGCCAACCCGCGGCTGCCGAGAATCCCACTTCGCTCCCTGTCAGAACCGTTAATGAGGAGGAGGAAGAAGAGCCTGCCAAAAGTCGCTCCAACCTCATCGCTAGTGTCTCTTCTGCTTCGGTCGGATTACTGGATGTTGCGTTAACCCTGGCACTAGATTATTTAGGCACAGATCGTTTACACAAACTTGCCATCCAAATCTACTCGGTTGCTATCAATCCGACCTACCCCAAAGTCTCTGATGCAGCGGACGAAGATCCGGACGACGATACGGCTGATGTGGCACCTGCACATGCCCTGTCGACTCTTATAAAGCTCATAAAGGTAGCCACCCCCACTACATCTTCCGTCTATCGCATCTGGATATCTGCCCACCATATCCTCCTTGCTTGTATGTATACTGGTGTGGCGTAGCGCTTCTAGAAAGTGTTGAGTATAACGTCTTATTTTGCTTCTTTGTTTCGTTATTTTAATTGCGGCTCTCAACCGGTTTACTTCAGTTTTTGTGTTGGTCCGCCGTTTCAATTCCCGAGGGTGGGCGCCCTCGCGGTATACTCAGCCCGCGCGCGACTGCTAGTGGTCGCGCAGCAGCGAAGCGCCGTTCCGGCGTACAGCTGACACATTATTTTATTATTTTTGTTTTCACTCAGCGGCTTCATTTATCAGATCAGATCTAGCTTACTCTGGGCGAATGTTGGAGAGAATCGTATACACCACGATGTCTGCACTCCAGTCGCTCGCTCAAGACTTCACAATTTTCATCATTGTGTTACGCCTAACCAGTAATCCCATCATGGAACTGCCACATGAACTTCTGATTGTACGTCTGCGCTGAAGTATCTGTACCGTGAATATGCATCCAAGTCTCACCTCGTCCGATTTGCACTGGATGGGTGTACGTTCTATATCTATGGTTTCAGGTCTTCAACTGTTGGAAACTACCTTTCCAAGTAAATACAGAAAAGGATATCACCAACTGTGACGCATACATTATTCTACTTCGACTGTTGAACTGACCCACACTAACTGTCAGCATTCGAAATATGTCAATCCGAGCACCGTGCAGTGTTCTACCTAACGCCGGCGCCAGTAGGAACCATGCAAACGTTTATACATCTGCAGATCCATACTCCCACTCTCGATCTCTCACTCAGAGCACTGTTCGTCTCTACGTGTGTTGTAGCTGTTTGGCTCACATCTGATGGAAACACCATGCATTATAAGCGTGTCCGGCGTCTTGTTTATGGGGTGGAAGAAGGTATTGAACCGTTCAACACTATTATACTACTCACCAGGCTTCGTTTGCTGGGCGACATGTTACGCATGCCCGTACGCCGACTCACACTGCGTGCGTTGTTTGCGCGACCCTCGTGTGGACGGAAGACAAAGAGGGGAGGCCAGTCGATGAGGTGGTCAAGTGGACTGCAATTTCTCACTTCGAAGTGGACCTCGGTTGGAGCGTCCTGGATTCTCTAGTTGAAGTCCGAAAGATGGTGAACGCGTTGACATAGCAAAGAACCGACCCCAATGGCGTCTGTGCTATGAGACTCTTTTCTCTCCCTCCCGCTTAGCATCGTTCTCCAAACAGGATCTCGCCGTCTGTGCATAAAAGAAGACCAAGGACAACCATATTTTTGTTTTCTTTTCGCTGTTTTTCTTTCTCTCTTTGCTACCGTCTTATTGAATTGTATCGCGGCGCATTAGCTGAGGTTCTTTCTCGCCTTTATCTCATCTGTAAAATGATTGAATGAATACTCGTGTTTCTAACCCGAGTTCAATGTTTCATTGTTGCCCAGTGATCAATCATGAGAAGTGGTTACCTATTTCTATTGCCTTTTTATTTCTGTCGCATCTGTCGATCCAGTTTGCCGTTGATTGTTTCATGGATCTCAAACTTGCGATATAGAACCACTATGCAGATGTCAGTTACTTGGCTTCGCAGTGCCATCTGAACCAACGCGTATACTATAGGCACGTCTACCTCGCGTTTGACACCTTTAAAGACATCTACGACCCCCTTCTTTCTAGCCATTTAAGTCGCCCAGATGAAGGCTGCAGATGTGCGCCAGCCGTTGTTCCCTGATGGTTTCTCCTACTTTCCACCCTACACTTTGATACGTCTTCAGTGCCCACTTTCCTCCTATTTCTATCGGTCCCGTGCGTTGCCTCACCCCGTTCGCCTTTGCTGCACTTGGCTTTTCGTGTTGCCAAAATCGGATCACAGGGCAGGCCTCCCATTACGAATAGCGAATTTGTACTTAAGTGCTTCTTAACTAGGCCAGGCAAATCTTGGTTCCCCACCTACTGTGCTACCGTTTATGACATGTGCCTCCAACGTCAGCAATACCGATATTTTGAATACTAAGCCCAGATACCGGGCACTATTCGCTGTCTGTTGCTTTTGATCACGAACTTTTCGACCAGTTGAAGCCAATTAAGAAATATCCTCACAAAACTCTACTGTGTCGGCTGAAAAACCATGATTCCATTTGCCAATGTGCATTCGGTGTTCAAGAACGCGGTCGTTTTACTCCAGTGCCACGAATGCGCCCTCTTCCATTTTCTATATTCATTTATAAACTTTTACATTTGTCATTATGTCGTTTGTCTTGTTCCGCAGTTGCTAACGTAAATAGCTGAAAATGCGCTCATCTGAGTACATAAAACTTACCTTGACTTGACTTCTATCTCTTCTATTTTGCTACATTTTTAGCCCCATAGTTTCATATATACCTCTTTTTCACCATGTTCGCACTGTACATCCACTGAGTACTGCCTCCCGTGCGTTGATAATCCTTTTCCTTGTCCGAATCATTCTTCACTTTTCAGGGTTGGATCACCAAATTGCTCAACCCGATTCATAGCGCTGTTTCATCTAGCACCCAGAAGGCCTCAAGCCACCACGCCAACTCTCACACCAAGGATCTGGTCACTCTTCTTCCGCTGCTTGTCCGTCTGTGCCAAGCGCGAGCCCAGATTGGTTCAATTGAAACACCCTGTTTCCCCCGCCCTGTCCACGGTCCCTACACAGGTCTCGATCGCGTGCTCGCCTGGTTGATAAGACTGATGCGAACGTCCCATGCTGCTGGAAAATCTCGTGCTGACTCCAATCCACTTCCGGTTGCCGTACGTGTGAAGCTGATTGGACAAGCGATATGGCTGGCTCACCTAGTCGGCCCGGTTGCTAACGATTATGCGCAGAGGCTAAACAATTCAGATGAGTTGCTACATCTGGACTATTTGTTGACGACCATCGCCACGGATGTGCGGGGAGCTTTGGGTGATTGCTCTAGTCCCCACGTAGGTTGTCTTTTGCCTATCACTCCTCTCGTGCTTTCAGTCTTTGCGTAACCAATCACCTGATTTGTTTCCTCTCGTTATCCTTTTTACTTACCATGGCAATTATTAAAAAATGGACTGTGACGGTTGTTTACTACGCGCATATCTCCGTCTTTGGCCACCTAGGGACGGAAAGCCGTTGCAACCACGTTCTTTTTTGAGCCCGAGTTGGTTATTCTTGTTGTTTATACTCGGCCAGCTTTAACTATCGTATTTTGTCTTCAGTCGCTGGCTGCCTCGATGCATACCATCTATCCTTACTATTTTAAATAAAGGACATTTCTCCTGATGGTAACATAGGAGAAAAGTGATTTGAATCATTGAGTTATCCAGTATCTTATGGATAAACCACTTTAGGTCCACTCTTTTTGGTGCTCATTCACAATTTATTTTTGGTAAAGTAATTCTCTAATCACTTTATTGATCTTCCTGTTGCTCTGTTTACCTCGACTTCCGCTTGTGACTGCCAATTGTACTGTTATATTCCCTCGCTTGTCCACACCGTTTTTCGTCTGATTGGCTAGTTTGTTGAATCTGGACTTCTCCAGAGTATCCTCGCAATGGACCAATATCTACGCGCGAGAAAATTCGCTACACTTTAATTTCCGCTTCTATAGATTTAATCACTCGGTGCAAACATGCTGTTGATCTGTTGAACCTTTCTGCCTCTTTTCCTCCCATCACGCCCTCTTACTCTAGGACGCCTTCTTCAACCCGACTCAATCAGAATGCGAAATCATCTTTCCTATCATCAACCGCTCCTCAGCGCTAGCGTTGTTACCGCCACTCTTTTCCACAGTTCGTCAAGTCCTAACCGAACTGGAGTGGCTGTTATCGCGTCTTACTTCGGATCTAGAAACTCGCATCTCTGTGAGGACGCCATCTCACAGTGAGTGAAACTGGGCAGATTTCGCACATTCTACGCGATTGACGCGCGAACTGCACTTTCTTGGCGAATCTTTTCCCTCATACTGCCACGTTCTAACTTTTGTGTACTTTTTATGAATCATGAGTTATCCAGTCCTTACGATAACCGTAATACTTTCGAATTCAAATGAATCGGCAGTTCTGTTAGCAAATTAACTGCACACCAGTCAGCTCGATCCACTGACATTTCCAGTTAGTGCAGAACAAGTATGCACCTCATGTGCTCAATCCGGGTGGTCTATTCTAACTGTTATTGGCAACACACACACCTCGGGTTTCCTATGTTGCCTTTTCATCTACTCTGTTGAAACAGCATTTGTCCAACGAGTTGCATCTTTTCTCTGCATCTCTCGTCTTCTTTTTGTCAATAGATTCACCTTGTGCGAACGGATTAGAAGGAAACAATCGTGAAGAAGCGCTCTGTTCTCGTTTAATCAGCCTTGGCGAAATGTTTGCACAATTTCTGTTCACCGCCATCCCAGTCCCCAGCGCACATGGGGACAATTTGCTCGAACTTAGTGCTCGCGTGTTCAACGTTCTGACGCAGTTAGTCAAATATGTAAGCGCGCAATTTCGTCTCCATGGAACTACCACCTTTGTAATTTCGTTGAAGTATAACCCTTTTCGGGGATTACGTTCCCACCGCTCCTTCTAACTGCGTTTTTGCCTGTAGTAAGGGAGGTCGTGGAATTGTGGATCGATTTTTTTCTCTATGCGTTTCTGACTTGAATGACATGAGAGGTAGAGCACGATGCATCGTAGCGGTTTATCGGTCATAACGTTCCGTTCTCCTCACTGATGGTCTTGCGGCACAAACTGCTGCCTACGATTTGAGTGGTCATTGGTTCTACTCCCGAAAGTTTGGAACGGAATTCACGTTACTGGCAACTTTCAGTTTGGCGAAACGGTCGCCCGTCACTGATCCGAATGCAGTCAGCTATCATCAAATGTAGTCTGGGTGATACGGATCTTCACGAAATAATCACCGGCATTCCCTTCACTAACGTGCCTGCAATTTTATCGCCCATCCGTATTGTTTTTTACTTGATGTGTAGGGCGTTCTTATTGCTCTGCCGCGGACCCAATGCTTTACCTATTCTATCTGGTGACGCTATCTATTTCTTCATTTGCCTCAGTATCTGCGGATCGTTCGCACCCGCACTGGTCGCTTCCCTGTTCTCTTCGAACGTGTGGTTCGTGTCTTCGGAAAGGATGTGTCCCCTCGAGCCTACCATTTCATATCCTATATACAAGTGAGAGCAATACACGCCACCACAACTTGCCTTTTTTCCAATACACCCCCTACGCTTTTGGACATAATTGATTCCTTTTTTTAATAGCTGTTTTCTCTTCCAGCATTCCGAATCGGAGAAAGTGAAGATGCTTCAGGATAAGCAGTCTGCCAAGAATGTTAGCCAAAAAGATGTAGTGAAGAAAACCGCTCACGGTTCTGGTTTGTCACATACTATGGTGAGTTGCTTCTGCGCTTCTTCTTTGCGCTTGGCAATGTCGGTTGGTTGGCGCGCCCATCCATAGAAACCTGTTTCAATAAGCAGTCGAACGAGCGTCGATGCGCCACTGAAAGTCGCGCTGCATCTTTTTCTTTTCCTTTCTGTCTTATGCTACACATTCTCCGCTTACTTTTATATCTAAAACGAAAGGAGCATATATCAGCGTTGTCGTCTCATTGACCTCTTCTCTTTCAGGTTTCTCGTTCCCTCAAAGATTCACGCGTCATCCCTCAACTGATTTACGCCATCGAACAGTTTGAACGATTTCTTATGCAGCTCTCCAAATTGTCTAAAGTAAGTCTACGATTCGCATCTCATTGTCCAGTGCTCGTACTTCACGAGTTTTAACTGACTGAGAATGCGTATATCGTGCTTGCGCGACTGAAAGTGCATCAATCGGTGTGTTTTACTGGACTTCTTCAACATAAGCATCACTGGGGGAAATTATGTTCGGCAACCCAAAAATTCCCAAATATTACCACAAACCAAAATAGGGGTGGATGCTGAGTTAACAATTCCTTTCCGTTGCTCTCGTCCAACCCACACGTTTACGTAAGAGGGATCACGTGCCCATTGTGACAGTGTGATCTGGCTAGAGGCAGCAGGCGCGCGGTCACGAGTGTTTAGCAATTCGGTGGAACTTGCAGCTGCCGTAAATTATTTGCCTGTACAGTCCTCCGGAGGGATCGACACAACAACAACAACCACGGCACACAACAGAACAAAACACAGCACGAAACTTCTGTTTAGGAACACTACGATGCCATGCAACGACTGAAATTCCTGAACCATAAAACGATTAAAGGCCGGCCACCTAACGGTCGGCTTAAAAACAAACACAACTTTGACATCCATCAGCACACTCTTAACAACAAATAAACTATCCTGGCTTTACACAAACACCCAAGGCCTTCTAAGTAAATTAACCGAACTTAGATAACTCCATTCCTCACAACCGCGCTACCTCGTCATGCTTACAGAGATCTGGTTAAACCTTGAGATAACCGATTCTGAGATCAATTTACCTGGTATGTCGCTGCTTCGGAACGATAGAACTAAAAGTGGTGGTGGTGGGATTCTTTCTTTTAATGCAAACCTCGATGTGAAGTTATCGATCACACGGAAATCAGCGCCCCTGGTTCGTTTTGGTGCCGCCTATGATTTCGGAACATGGACACATGTCTACTAGCTGTAATTTACCGCCCACCACACTCTAAGTCGGAAATGGACTCCGAACTGAATCACGTCTGTCAGGTTGCTTTGAACAAATCCTACAGTCACCTTCTTATCGCTGGGGACTTTAATGTGCAGGACATGGAAATGCCAGCAACCGTTGGTGTGCAGTTTAAATCTTGCTTGCAAGAGATACTCACTCGCCACCCTCTGTCGAACCACGTAACCTCTCCCACTATATTTCGAACTGCTAACAAGCCGTCGATACTCGATCTTGCTCTCACTAACGAAGACCTCATGGTCGACCGGATAGTTACAAGCACACCACTGCGTTGTACTGACCATGTTACTCTACTCTTTGACTATATATGCTATGCGGTGTATCCTGAAAAGGAGGATGATAATGTGCATACTGTCACATACTACAACGCGTTATCTACGCTACTTGAACTTTCTTACTCGAATGTCCCCCCAGATCTAGCCTGGAAAACGTTCATATGTGCGTTTAGCATACTGGTAACGCACGTAGCGGAACAGAGAATTCCTTCCAACGTAAAATGCGATACAAGTCATTTCTGAGGAACGCAACACGTCAGTGTATGTCCCTGATGGGATTTCCAATGGTGAGCTCACAACAGGGCTGCACGAATGCCAAAACCTGGACTGCCTATGTGGCACGTCGGAACTTCTGTGCGAACCTGATCCGCGAAGACAAGCTTACGCGCATCGGCTAGAGATATTGGAGCGATTCTGCATCAACCGCGAACTTCCGTACAGGCACATTAATGGCACTGGTCACGGCTAATGGATGCACGCTGTCAGCAATGGAAGCAGCCGATCTCCTACGGCTTCAGTACTTCCAAACTTTCCAGCAGATACCCAGCTCACCTGTCCTCCTTGTTTCCATTACCCAACCATCGGATTTATACAACATCAACTTCACTGCGAAAGCTGTGTTAAAGAAGTTGTTACCATTATGTATCCACAGTTCTCCTGGAGTCGGCAATATTCGACCGAAGGCTCTGCAGGCAGTAGCTATTGATCTAGCAGAACCACTGGCCGTTTTATTAAGAGAGCCATATTCCACCAGTATGGAAACGAGGGATCATCACCCCTATTCTTAAAGGAGGTAGCCCCACTGACCCTACTAATTACCGTCCAATAACGCTACTTCCTGCAGTATCCAAAGTTATGAAATCAATCATCGCATATGCTTTACCTGGAAAACGACAACTTAATAGCCCCAAAGCAACATGGCTTCCGGCAAAAGTGTTCATGTACTACCAACTGCACGTAATAGCTGGACTGAAACCGTTAATGATGGTGCAGGAGTTGATGCCATCTCTCTGGACTTCTCCAAAACGTTTGATTGCTTAGCCCATCGAATTCTGCTTCACTTGCTACGGAACTACGACATTGGCGACCCAATGTTGAGCTGAACAAGCACTTTTTTTACACGGACGTCTGTTGGATGTGATACTCCTAGAAACTCCGTTCCAGGCAATTGATGTGCAGTGTTGTGTTCCACAAGGCTCGGTGCTTGGGCCTCGTCTATTTTTGGTGTTCGTAAACGATTTAGCGAGATCATTTGCCTCCGATTTCCCATTTTTCGCAGATGATATCAAGATATGGCGAATGGTCAGAGGACCGGACGATCTGGAACGGTTCCACTGCGTTCTTAACACGATTTCGTACTGTTCGGTTCAGAACGCTCTACTATTCAACGTAGACAAATGTCGCGTGGTGCAATTACACCGTAGACATAACTACACTTATTTGCTTGGGACACACGGCTTACAGACCACCCTGGAACGTGATCTTGGTGTTATCTTACAGCGTGACCTCAACTGTTCCAGGCAAGCTGAGGTAATAATGTAATAATAATGTGTCAGCTGTACGCTGTAACGGCGCTTTGCTGCCGCGCGACCACCACCAGTCGCGCGCGGGTTGAGTATATCGCGAGAAGAGGCAACCAGCACATCGGCCTGTTGCGAAGGGCCTTCGGGAAATTTGATCCATCAATCTTCCCAATGATACAAAATTTCTACGTGCATCCTCAAGTTAAATACGCTATCCAAGCTTAGCAACCTAGATTAAAGCGCGATCTAGAGGTATCACAACATAGAGCTACTAAGTATGCAAAGGGCCTACGCTATCGCTCTTACGACCAAAGGCTGAAGTTGCTGGGAGTTTTCAGTGGACGCTACCGAAGGCTGCGCGGCCATCTTTTTTAGGCATACTAAATATTGAGCAATCCCAACCGCGTATGCCGCCATTTGCTGAAACAGCCATAACGCACAACTCAGGGCCGTTTAGCGTGTCGATGAAATTGCTTTTTCCTTCGGGTTTTTCTGCCCTTAACGCACTCCCAAACTCAGGTGTATCCTCCTCTACTATGGACATTTTTAAAAGCGATTGGATCTTGCTCTTAGCTCCCAGCGCTTTGTTACCTTAATTATGCCATTTTGGATTGCGTCAATCATGCCTTTCTACTGACTTTACATGTCATATGGACCCAAGAAGGCGGCGCATATGTGAGCGACCATATTTTACTTTTCTCACTCTTTACCTTAACGATTACTGCACCTCGTGTATCTCGGTATGCTTACACTCAGCTTTTGCTTTACATTAGCGTTATTTATCAACGCATTTTAACTCGGTAGATGACTCACATATATCTCGCCTTCATTGTACTCACCCCAGTCATCCTACGGGACGTGTATCCCGTGATAAATAATTGTTCAGATCGGGCTGAATATTGATTGTGATATTGTGTCCAGTTGTCGTATCAATAGCTTACACAGCCACCGTAGGTAGTGCGACAGCTCAAAAAGTGATGCAGCACTCAAACGATTAAGCACTGCCTTTTCTTGGCCACGGTAGAAGTAGTGGGCATACTGAAACCTCACGAGAAAGGTTCTGGGATTGAGTTGATAATTTTGAAATTGTTTTTCAGTTTACTCAATGCGTCCTGCCATACTATCTCTACCTGATGAGTACAACCGTATTCGAAACCGACCTTATAGTACAGTATTGTGAATGAGCAACACCTGACCGTCACCAGCTTCAGATGCGTTCTAAAGTGACCTCTGATTTATTAGGGTTCAATTCGCAGTGAACCCCACTGTCTCGATTGGGATTGCATGTCGCAGTATATTCACGCTACGTGTATTCCGAAATACCCCCCACTGTGCTCCTGTGATTTTCCTTTGGCTGCGACCGTCCCCATACAGTATCGCTGTGCTTCCAATGGGACCGTCTTTTTTCATTCCGGTAGCCTAGCTGTTCACTGAGATCAGTTCTGTAATTCGTTTGTAAAAATAAAAGTAATTTTATCATTGCACACTTTAATAGCTGATTTTTCTACGAAACTATATGCGCTGTAAGCGCATTCACCAAAACATTAGAAACCATCCGGCTTTCGAATACACCTTATTGAGTTGATAATCCATACATAGCTTATCTAGGCAAGCTTGATGTGTAGTCTTTTCTCGATCATGCAACTCAATTTCAAGACAATTCAAGTTAAACTAAGCTTTATGTACCCGACTGATTCGGTACTCAATTCTTCTCCATAGGAATACCATTTTAGATGCTTTTATGGCCTACAACAGTTGTGCATTGACCATTCATATTTTTAGCATTTGTGTGATTTTGCTTCTGGTTATCATTCATCCACCGCATGTTCCATTTTGTCTTTTTGGCTGATTTTATCTATGTGACTAGCAGGTTAACTTTCATTTGGTTTATTGCCCTCCGTTCTATTTATAAGATAGGTCCGGCCACTCATACTTCGTTTATGTTCCACGTACATCATTATTTGATGCCATGCTCCTTCCTTAGGTCAATTTGATGCGCAACGTAAAATTAGCAGTCTCAAGAGACTTTCGCATCAACCCTGCCACAGTTGTTGCCCAGCTCGAACATTCCGCTGCACTTGATACGAGCACAAGCAGCGATGATGAGCCTCTCGGTGATGTGACCGATTCACTTCATCAGGAAGGGAGAGAATTGACTGGTTTGTCTCGAACCACCGTGCCTGAGAATGCGTACGGTTGTCTCCCTTCAGGATCTGATGGGAGTCACTCTGTCGTAGATCTACAGCTACCAAATGGCTCCCAATCTCTTTCGTTGACCAATTCTGATCGGGTATGTTTGATTCTTTAATCTCTATCACCATAGTAGCTCAGTATGCGCATTGCCACCCGACACATTAACTTCCTTTAAGCAGATATGTCAGCATTTTTCACTGTTCCGTAGCCTGATGCGTTGATTTTGACTGATGTGTTCTATTACTATTTAGGTCTTCTGATCTTGTCATCTTTCCTCTCCATCCAAATACGTCATGATTCTTAAGCTACCTTGTTCGGTAGGCAGCTACGTCTTAGAGCATCTTGTTACAGTAACCACATGATAGTGGTTTGACGGTTGCAGTTTTCCCATGCAGCTTCTGCACGTGCCTTGAGGTTACTGCCTTTTTTATCCATGCACGAATATTCCATGCAGTGTTTGACAAGCTTCGTTGCCTTTTGCCTTTGAACAAATGCATGCTAGATTGAAGCTTTGCTTCTTTCTTGGCGTTGTATGTGCATCAATGCTGATTAATTATTGCTCTATTTTACTTTTTACAACTCACTTTCCCCCAGTCAATGTTTTTCCTTGTAGCCGGACTTCATTTCCGCTTTAGGCTGTCTTGTTTTTCACCGCACCTGTTGTTTCCACTTGCCTATTGCGTGGATACTTCTTCCCTTATAGTAACCCCCACTCGGTTGCTTTGGTTTCACAGTTCCTTCCAGTTGCTTCCACGTCTGCATCCACTGCTTTGGATACTTAGCTTCAAGCATTGTCGCACGAAAACTAAGCATATTAGAGTGCTTTGTTGCTCTGAAGCCTAAAATGATAGATACTTAGTCCTTACCACCTTCATTAGAGCGCCTAATGGTTTCTCATCCTTGTAAACTTTCCTAAAATACTGGAGATTCTGATAATCTCCCATGTAGATACGTTGCTCTTCTAATATTTTGTCATTATGCATCTCCTTTAGTCTATTGGATCGTCTACAACACGTACATCAGTCCAAAAGCGCCCCTCATCCACCGCCGGTTTGGAAGAAGATCATAGTTTCTCAGGGCCATCCAAACGGAACGTACGAATTAGTTGATATTTCCATACACCTTTGGCATGTATTTTGTCCTATTTTTGTAACGTGTACTTTGTATTCACAATCAGCCAAGATACAGCACTGCAGCTGCAATTTCAACTTTTTGTACATTTGACCGTCTGTAGTTTGTTGACACGTTGCAAAGGTTTTAAGTTGTTCGTTTATTGCTTGCCCCCTTTGCTTTCACCTACTCTCGCTCGGTTGCGCATTGTCGGATACACTGACCCTCATGGCATGCAGCAGTCGCCCGTTGTTCACGCCTGATCTCCTATTTTCTTGCCTGCACCTGTCGCTCACCCTGCGCTGATCGTCTTGAACCATCAGTATTTCTTGTGATTTCCTCACAAATCCGCTAATGGTCAATATGTCTATCTCCCACTATACTCAATTATTACGTTGGGATTTCGCATGTTCCTCCCGAAAAAAGCACTAACCCTATTTCTTGATCACAGCGTGCTCTCTGTACAACGAGTAAAGATTGTGTTTTCTTCTAGTCACTTTCGGCATAATCCGGCTATTCATTAGAGCTCTTACGTATGGTGACACTGGGCAAGCGTCCCTAAATAACCCTCCCCCCAGCAGATAGGTCTGTGGCTTTAGACTTTGTAATACATATCTTCTCAACGTCCGGTGTTTATCAGTGAACTGGTTCCTAAAATCTCTTACCTCGATGTGGTACCCGGAGTTCCCTGGGTGGTTTCACACTGTGATACGACACTGTTATCGCTTCTGGTCTGCCACTACCCGCCTCAAATCGATATCCGGTTAACATTGCTGGAATAATTTGTCATTGTTCATAAGATTAACAATGGAAAAGTGACGTTCGCATGTATGTCATATCACTGGAGTGCCAGAATGTTTCAAATTTCCCTGTGGTGTACTGTGGCCAGTTGTCTGATACCAGCGTTTCGGGTATACCAACACGACTGAACACCGGGAGCACCAATTTTCCGATGCCTGTGATTAAAATTGGGATAACCTGTGGCCATTTCGAGTGAACGTTAGCCACAATGAGATGGTATGCTCTCATCTGAACTAGCAGAGTCCACATGTACGCGTGGCCAGTGCTCGGTTCTTTAAGCCGGGGCAGTGGAACTATACAATTGGATGCTTTCTGCGCCATGGCCCTATATGCACAGGTGTATGGTATCGCCGTCCACCCTTGACCAATAGACGTAATCTCTGGCCGGCACCTTGATATGAATGATATCGCTCGTAGAGTCAGATGAGATTCAATTGTATTAGGGTTGTTGGGACAATCGTAAGCTAAGCGTGAATCCACGGTTAACCAAGTGTAATGGGAACGATAATATGAGGTTCATTTGGTATCTGATACTCTTGCTTGCCAGTATTCTACGTGCTATGTGAAGTTATATAAACATTATATATATATATATATATATATATATATATATATATATATATAAAAGACCGGGAGGCATGTAGATGGGAGCCTCCTCCAGTCAACGGAGCCGGCCCACACTCCTTCACAGGCAAACACAAGCACGCTGTATTTGGGGAATCAAGCGCACACAAAGCGGTGGCTGGACCGTAGTCCGCTCCACACTGAGTGCATGGAACCACTCTTCGAGCCTAGCACGGCCACAAGGACCGTGCACCCTGTCCCCTCCAGCAACGACCAACTGTCTCCTGGAGCCAGTATGGACGAGGTAGTGGGTAATGGATAGGTAGGCACCTTGTCAACATGCACAGCACTCGCAGCCACACTGGAGATGTCAAACGACAGCCAATTACTTGAAACAACGATATCAAGTAAAATAAATCGGATAATGCCTACAGATACGGTGACATAACTTTTCACTAAATGAGCGTATGAAATAAACTGGTTACGAATGAAACCGCGATAAATTCAATACCTCATCGATTATATCTTAAGAAAACGCCACAACCGCAAAAATGTTATCGAAGTTAACTACAATTAGGTTAAGTGACGGGTGCAAGTTGATAGAATATACCTCAGGTAGACATTAATATGAGATTAAAAAAGCGTTATAACAATATAACAAACTTTCCTACAACAATTTCTTGTTGCTCTGGCCGTCGCAGAGGATAATCAACGGCGCCCTATTTGCTGCATCGAGCAGGGTGGATAGGGGTATAGATGCTACTGCTCAGGCCTTCCCGTCTTCTTATACCCCTTCTTGCGCTTCTTCATCCTTATCGTCCCGCACCAACTTTACTTATATCCCCCCATTTTCAATCCCCCAATTCTTGGGCCTCCCCCAGCTTACTTCAGTAGTCGCTTGTCTTCTAATTTCAAATCACGCACAATCCCAGGGCCTCGCTCCAATCCAGTTGACAAGTCCATGTTCAAGCAAGCGGACAACGTCAGTTCATCCCTTTCCCTTTGGAGTCCTCGCGTCTCGCTAAGACTGGCATGCCTCAATGTGCACACGTTGCTGCAGATTGGCCAACAGGCAGCACTTGCCCGCACACTAGAGACCCTCGCGATCGATATTTGCTGTTTATCAGAAACCCGCCTGCAAGGTTCGAGCTCCGTGCTCACCCTGAGGTCCCCCACATGCGACACTGGCGGCACATTCTCATTGCGCCTGTCTGGCGATGATGCAGCTTCAAATGCCGGTCAAGCTGGCGTCGGCATTGTTTTGAGTCCCCGGGCTGAAGCTGCCCTGATCGATTGGATCCCAGTAAACAGTAAGATGTGCGCCGTTAGATTAGCTGGTTCGTTCCGTGCTACGAAGTCGCGCGGGTACAAACGTTGCCTGTTTGTCATTGTACACTACGCCTCTACAAACTGTAGCACTGATTCGGTAAAAGATGATTTCTATCAGCAACTTCACGAGCTCCTTCGTTACAGAAGAAGCACGGATATTGTGGTGTTGGCTGGCGATCTAAACGCCCAAGTTGGAAAATTGTCCTCTGATGAGCTTCATCTGGGCGGCCAACATGGTGTAGGCTCCCGTAATGATAATGGTGAGCGATTGCTACAGCTGTGTGAAGATGCTCGCCTCTTTCTCGCGAGCACTAACTTTCGACACAGCACCAGCAGAAGCGTGAATTGGCGGCCATCAGCCTCGGGCCAACCATGGACGCAAATCGATCATATCGCAATCGGTTACCGCTGGAGAGGCTGTGTCCAAACTTGTCGCTCGATTTGGAGCACGAGTGTGAACTCTGACCACGCACTTGTCTGTGCGGACCTCCTGGTGCGTTTCGGTGGACGTCCGCAACGTCGATGTGAACGGATTGACACCAGTCAGCTGGCGAAGCCAGATGTTCTGAATGTATACCATAGTGCGCTGACATCTGAGCTGAGTAAGCGCCCACTAAACACCCTTGAAGATCACTGGTCGCATATTCGTCAAACGTTACTGCTAGCAGGCATATCTTCATGTGGCAAAGCACACTGCCAAACCGGACATTGGGTATCTACACAGTCTCTGGAAATTACAGATGCTCGCCGACGTATTCCGGCTGAAAGTGAATACAATGAGGCTCACAAAAATCTCAGGGCAAAACTACGTGCTAGCCTTAGGAAGGACCGCGAAACCTGGTGGTCTCATCGTGCCTCTGCGGTGGAAACAGCCGCTGCCGTGGGTAATCATCGTAAATTATTCCGTCTGATACGGGAAACAGGTAGCAGGAGACCTGGTGTTAGCGAGACCATACGTGACGAGAGTGGGCAGCCGATCCACAGCTTGTCAAAGTTTGAAGATGGATATGATCAGGAGAATGGAAAGGTCTCGTGTTGCCACCCAATAGCGTCTAAATGATGCTCGAAACCCTTAACCGTAGGCTCACTGACTACACTTTCTGGAAGCGAGTTCCAGCGCTCGATAACTCTACGCGATAACTGAGCTTCCACCCTGATCCGGTCAGAACGCGGCATATGTAGCTTCATGGGATGACCGCGAAGACAAGGCAACCTAGCCGGGCTAAATAGCCAGCTCAAGTCCGGTCCAACCTTTCCAGTTAAAATGCGGTAAGTAAAGATTAGGTCTCCTCGAAGCCGTCGGTAGTGCATTGAATACATACCCAAGTTAAGTAGACGCTCGGGGTGCGATTGCCCCCGTAACCCCACGACCAATTTAATACCTACTCTCAAAACCCTCTCGAGCTCCATTTTGTCCCGAACAAGGCAGGGCGGGCAAGCCTGGACACAGTATTCCAGATGGGACCGAACGAAAGCTGAGAACAGCTTCACAAATATGTCGGCAATTAAGACCCCAAAAGAACGGCGTATTAACCACAACATTCTGAAACCCCTACTTGCAGCCTTCTTCCAGTTGTCACCAGAATGCAAAGATGAGGAATGGACGGCGCCTAGGTCTACCTGATTGTAGACAAGGGGAGTTCGACCCCACCGAGTATGTAGTTCGAAGGTGGGAAAGTTGCTCCTATACGAAGGACGGAACACTTAGCCTGATTTATGGGCAGTAGCCACAAAGTAGGTCAGTCCCAGAGTCTGTCCAGTGCATGCTGTATGGCCTCAGAACCCCCAGGAACATTTGCAACATTCCATAGCTTAAGCTCATCAGTAAACAATAGGGATGATACCCCAAGCTCTCCAGGGAGATCGTTTACGTAGATGGAGAACAGCATCGGTCCACGGACCGAGCCATGTGGGACACCGCTAAGGACCGCTTGCATAGAGGATAAGCTGCGACCCACACGCACATACTGCTCTCTTCCCTGCAAGAACGCAGATACCCAGTGAAGGGCGCGGTCAGATACGCCGTAGGACCTCAGCTTTTTTGATAGCCTCAAGTGGGGTACCTTATCAAATGCTTTCGATAAGTCTACGAAAAGCACATCCACTACGTGACCATTGTTCATTGCCTCGGCCCAAGCTTCACAAGCAATCAACAAATTCGTCGGACACAAAAGCCCCTTCCGGAATCCGTGTTGTGCACTACTGAGTAGATTAAATCTATTCAGGTGACATTCCAACGAATCTCTCATCAGCTTTTCAAGCAGTTTGACCACGACGCTAGTCAGACTGACTGGAATATAATTGGCTGACAGTCTCCTTCCATTCGGAAGGTAATGTACAGCTGTCAATTGACTTCTGAAACACCGTTGATGCTGAGTCAGAAGATCGTTCCAAACGAAATGGAGCTGGAGTTGGTTTTACCACTGCGTACTGGGTTAGGCGAGGGATTACGGGGACGGACGTTCCACGAGCGTCTACTTAGTTTGGGTGTGCGTTCAATGCACTACCGAACGCTTAGTGGAGACCTTATCCTACGCGGTAACTCGATTTTTAGCGTGCCTTACTGATCGAGCTTTTTAGCTGAAATAAAGTGGAACTCAGTGTTTGAATATACACTTAACGAAATTTGGCTGTTGTCAAATTTCCTCCGATCCAAGATATCTTGTATCGATTAAGGTGGTGCTGGCCAATGCGTCTTCCTGACGCTTTCTGGTGATTTTGCGCCTGTCCCTTTTTCAATCCCGTTTTGAACCCTGTTTTGCCTTCTTATTGTGGTCGTTTAACGGTTTTATACTTGTTTTTAAAATTCTGCTCTGTTTT